AAAAAAAAAAAAGACCAGCCTGAGCAAGAGTGAGATCTCATCTCTAAAAAAATAAAAATAGCCAGGCGTAGTGGCAGGTGCCTGTAGTCCCAGCTACTTGGGAGGCTGAGGCATGAGAATCAGTTAAGCCCAAGAGTTTGAGGTTGCTATGAGCTATGAGGGTGACAAAGTGAGATTCTGTCTTCAAAAAAAAAGAACAAGAAAGAAAAAAAAAGAAAAAAATACTATCAATTTACATTACAGGCTATTTCTGTCCTACTAAATTTACTAAGTCTTTTTCAGGGCACATGAATGATCATATAACTTTAATCAGTATGTATACATTGTTTTGGATCCTATCTTTTTACTCAGCATGATTTAATTTAGCTGTTTACAAATATCCATTTAATTTCCATAATTATCATTTTAACAGCCTTATACTGTGGCATGAAATAGATTACCACTCACCTGTTTCCATAGTGTGGGGTACTGGGGATGTTTCCAATTTGTGGTTGATTTGGAGTGCTGCTATCTTTGCACACATTGCTTGTTATAATCTTTGGAACTATTTCTAGCAAGGGCACTGTGGGAAGTAGATGAAGGAAAAGTACCTGGAATTTTAACTTGTCCTTGGATAGGCGCACTTTTTTAAAGAATTGGCTTTTGGTATTTTGCAATGTGTAAGTAACACAGTTACTGCAGGCTGAATGATCTTGGGTACATTTCTTCACCTCTCTGCTCCCTGGACTCTGGCACTGGCTGGGAGTTGTGTAATTACAGATCTTAGGCTTTTCCTTAGAACCTACTGAACCTGAATCTGCATTTTAACAAGATACTGTTGTGGGGGAAATTCATGGGCCTATTAAAAGCTGGAGAAATCATGCCTTAGAGTGCTTACCTGTCAAGTAGGAATAACAAAGATCCTCCCTCATAAAGCTGTCGTGAAGACTTAATGCACATGTATGTATGGAAGAGTGTCAGACACATAGTGAGCACTATGTGTTTGCTACTTTTGTGACTCCCCAGCCGGTTGAATAAATCCTCAGGCTGGCAGTCCCTAAGCAGAGTGCTTTAAAGAGAACAGATAGGGCAGATTTCCCTGTAGTGGTATGCACAGGGGGTTGGGGAGAATGTCTCTAGACACACTTTCTCATCCATCATAATCCAAGTCCCTAAAGAGCCAGGTCCAGCCCCAGGTTGCTGAATGAGTCTGAAAGCACTTCTTTGGGCAGGGGTTGGGACAGGGGAGATAATCAGGTGCCACCTGAATGGCCCCTTGGATGGGGATAACCTGCCAGTACTATCTACAGAAAAGCTTGTAAATAATGCACATGGAGTCCTGACCCTTTAGAGAGAAGTTCCTCAGATTTAGAACCTAACCATGAGGTGGCAGCTGTACAGATCTCCCTGGGGGAGGTGGGATGGGTGGGAGGGAAGGGCCTGCCTCTCCTGCCCAGAGGCTGCTTGGGGCTGAAAGAGAAAGACATGGTGGGATCCTGCAGCTCCAAGCAGACACATCTTCTTCCTACATGGTATGTTTGATAACACTGTATTCTTCCTTCAAGGCTCTGTGTTCTCTTTTAGATTCTATTAACCCCAATTAAATAAACCATTTTCTGTTTTTCCACCATTCAAGTGATTTAGCTGGTTTTAGAATCTTCAGTTGATTCTCTTCGTGACACATTGTATCAAGTATCTCAGAATCAAATGTATCCAGGGAGCAGAAGTTAACACAAATATAAGAAGGAGGAAGAAGGAGGAAAGGGGAAAACAATTGAGCTTGGTGGGGACTGTGGCAACTTGCAGGTACCTTGTGAAGGGTCCAGTTGTTACTCTGTTCCAATCAACTGTCATGCAGGACTATGAGCCCAGCACAACCAGATCTTTCCATTTTCCAAAAGAAAGTGCAAGTCTGGATTTATTTTTAATTTAGTTTATTTATTTTTGAGACAGAGTCTCACTCTGTCGCCCTGTGTAGAGTGCCATAGTGTCATAGCTCATAGCAACCTTAAATTCCTGGGCTCAAGTTATCCTCTTGCCTCAGCCTCTCAAGTAGGTGGGGCCACAGGCACCTGCCATGATGCCTGGCTAGTTTTTCTATTTTTAGTTGAGTAGGGGGTCTCACTCTTACTCAGGCTGGTCTTGAACTTCTGAGCTCAGGCAATCTACCTGCCTCAGCCTCTCAGAGTTCTAGGATTACAGGCGTGAGCCACCACGCCTGGCTATTTATTATTATTATTATTTTATTTTTTTGCAGTTTTTGGCCAGGGCTGGGTTTGAACCCCCCACCTCTGGCATATGGGGCTGGTGCCCTACTCCTTTGAGCCATAGGCACCGCCCTATTATTTTTTTAGAGTCAGCATTTTGCTGTGTCACTCATGCTGAAGTGCAGTGGTGTGATCATAGCTCACTACAGCTTCAGATTCGTGGGCTTAAGTGATCCTCCTGCCTCAGCCTCCTGAGTCACTGAGACTATAGGTGCACCACTATGCCCCACTAATTTTTAAATATTTTTTGTAGCGATGAGCTCTTACTATGTTGTGCAGGTTGGTCCCAAACTCCTGGGTTTAAGTAATCCTCCTACCAAGAACTCCCAAAGTGCCAAGATAATAGGTGGGAGTCATTGCACCCAGATTGATTTATTAATCAATAGAGCATTGGTTTAAGAGTCAGAGATGAGAACTTCAATTCAAAGTGATTCATTAATTATCTAGGAATTTTGGATAGGTTGCTCCTCTTTTTAGACCTCAATTAAGAATTGTAAAAATAGCAGTACCCTGAACCCCATAAATGCATCAATGTACAAAGTTATGATTTAATAAAAAATAATCAAAAAATTGTAAAAATAATTTTCTGGGTACTTGTGTGCATTTCCATGTAACAAATTCTTGTAGCAGTCTGTGAACCCCTAGAGTCGAGAACTTCTGCAGTATATGATCTTTAAAGTTCATTCCCTCAACCAGTATTTATTGAGGGCCTACTATGTGGAAAGCTCTGGGAATCCAACAACAACTTAGACACAGGTTAAGTTCTCTGGAGATTATATTCCTATGGAGGGAAAAAAATCAACCAATGTAGGAACAAACAACTACACATGCTGGTAACCTGTATGAAGGAAATAACACAAGTGAGATATAAGTGACTGGGAGGAGGTGTGGACCTCCAGGTGTTCAAAGGTAGTGTTATGGGTTAAACTGTGTTCCCGCAAAAGATGTGGTAACCTTGGAATGGGATCCTATTTGGAGATAGGGTTTTAGCAGATGTAATCAGTTTAGGTGAAGTCACACCTGAAAAGGATATCTTTATAAGGGAGGACACACGGCACCAAGCACACAAGGAGGAAGACTGAGAAAACAGGGCAGAGATTGGAGTGATGCAGCTGCAAGCCAAGGATTGATGGCCATCACCGTAAGCTATGAGGAGCCAAGGAAGGATTCTACTCAGAGTCCCAGAAGGAGAAAGGACCTGCTAACACTTAGATTTCAGATTTCTAGATTCCAGAAACCAGGGCTGTGACAGCATATGTTTCTATTGTTTTAGTCACCCAGTTTGTGGTTAGGGCAGTCCCAGAAAACAACTAAAGATGTGACATTTGAATTGAGCCTTGAATGAGAAAAAGGCAACCATATGAAGATCTAGAGGGAAGACTATTCCATGCAAGGTCAGTAAAAGAAAAAGCAGTGGCTGGAGAGAATGGATCCAGGGTGGCGAGGCAGCAGATGTGACAGGAAAGCTAGGCAGGGGCAGATCTTGTAGGACTTTGCAGGGGAAGGTAGATAGTTGGATTCAATAAGCCTGGAGGCTGTTGCGTCATTTGAGTGACAGAAACAGCTGTTGAGAGAGTCATCCATTCACAGAGGGCAGGAATCTAGGTGTATTAGTTGCAGTACATAATGACAAGTGAGATAACAGACCCTCTCTGCGCTTTGCTGCCCTGTCCCGGACTCTGATAAATGGTCAATGTCAGCTCTAGCATTTCTGGGCGTTGGCTTTGGCTGAGGTAGGGCAATGTTTAGGGATAGGTGAACTCTCACCTCCCCAAATCTCCTATCTCTCCCCGCAACACTCGACACTGCCAAACCCCACGATCTAAGTAAAATAAGCTCTGCAAATGCAGCTTGCAGACAAGTTCCCCAGCCCATCCTAGAAGAGAGATTCTGGAGGTCCAGAGGGACCCCCAAGGGGACAGCGGTATGGCATGCCCTGCGGAGACAGTCAAGGATACACAGTACCCGCCAGGCGCGCGGGGGCGGAGCTCGGGAGCAGGCGCATGCGCGGCCCCCCAATAGGGCGGGGGGGGGGCGGGTACCGGGGCGGGGCCGTGACGTCAGGTGCGCGCGTGGCTCCCGCTGCGCAGGAACAGCTGGTGCCTCTGAGGGCAGCCGGGGAGCGGGCGGGCGTTGGGTGCGGGTGGCCGGACGGGCCACGCTGCAGGAGCAGCAGCCGCCGCCGCCTCTGCCTTGCACCACTGCACCATGTCCGGGCAGCTGGAGCGTTGCGAGCGCGAATGGCATGAGCTGGAGGGAGAATTTCAGGAATTGCAGGTAAGGCCAGGCCACCTGGTCCCGCAACTCTGCTAACCGCGGTGCAGTTTCTTTTCCTTCCTGCTCCGCAGGCCTGGGCGGTGGGTTCAGTCAGGGCCCAAGGAATGTCCCTGGCTAGGCCCTGGGAACTGGGGGTCGGCTGCCCCCTATCTCCCAGCGCTTCAGTTCTTCGTCCATATGGGGCGAGCGGTCGAAGCCCCCCACATTCCCCTCCCTCTCTCAAAGCTCTTTGCTCGGCGCATCTCCTTCTCTGCACAAAGTTGGTATATGGCCTTTGAGGCAAGTTCCAGGCGTGTCCACGTGGGGGGAGCTTTGAGGGGGTAATATGTCCTGAGGCTCAGAGAGAACAACCCAGCCCCCACCTCCGCTGGAGTCTCATCTAACCCTACGCCCACCCATCTGCCTTTGGCAGTCTGACTCTCCTATTCTGGCAGGGCAGCCCTCTCCTACAGTTCCCTTTTGGGAGGTGTACTTAAGAGCCATTAACCTTGAACTTCTAGGCTGATTTAGGGACTCCATTCCTGTCTTTGGGGGGCTCTGCTGTTGCGCCCGCCTCTGGCCCCGCTGCAGCTTGAGTTTGGCCTTGTGAATGGCATCTGTCAGTTCTGAGCGGGGATGCCTCACGCAGGGGTAGAGGCTGCTCTCAAACCTACCCCTGTGGCCCGGTGCCTTACTCGGAATGAGGTGAGGGTGGATATAAGGAAGGACCCCTGAGAGAATGACATTGCCTTGGGGGTTCTGGCAGGAGTAGTTGTTCCTGATAGGTTCAGCGAGGCCTCAGCTACTTAACTCTGATGACTAGAAATGCCTCAGGAAACCTTGGGACCAAGAGAGCTGAGGGACCAGTTTTAGAGATGGGGCTGCTCCTTTTCCAGCAATAGGATTGTTTGTTATCTTGGGGTTGGGCTGTTTGCCTGAAACCACTTTGCACAACCCAACCCCAGTCCTCTCCTTTCCTCAACTGGGGCAGTGACATTTTGCTTGTGTATGTAGCTCTTATCCGCTGTTCAGCTGGCTGCCTACAATGTCCAGAGGATGTTGCCAAGGTTGTCTTTGATGGATCTTTCTAGATAAGCAGCTGTACTGATGAATAGAGGGGCACTGGAGAGACTGGGCAGGAAGGGGACTGTGCTATTTCAGGCCTGACCAGAGGGTAAAGTACCCAGGTACTCATCTCTTTTGTGGCCTGTCCAGCATATGTGGGTTAATGCCCTCTCCTTCATGTCTGTGGCTTGGGTCCCACTGAGTTCCCAGGGGCTCCCTCTCCTAGAGATGGCTCAGCCACTTCTTAGTACTTTGTCCTACAGGACTCTGAGGTCATGTTCAACTGTGGAACCACAGAGTGAGTTGGACTTGGGAGTGGGAGAAGGGAAGAGCTTTGTTGTATGGAGAGTTTATTTGTAATTCCTTTCCTTTGCCCTGCCTTAGACTAAGAGGAAGAGGAGGAGGAGTCTTAACACTTTGGAGCTATGCAATTAATGCAATTAACAGCCATTAGATAGCAAGTCTTGGCAGGCCGGCGTTGCAGAAGAGCTTGATTTGTTTTGTTCTTAGTTGTGTTTCAGATGCTCAAGTGTGTTAGGAACAGAGGAACTGGGATCTGTATTTTGTCCCCTGGTGCACAGCAAGAGTTGAGGAAGGTATGACTCGGTGGAAACTGATGTCTCCTGCTCAGTTCTGTAGGGAAGAGGGTATTGGAGTGGACTGGATCCTGGTTTGGTGAAGAGGGACCCAGGTGGTCAGCTGCTAGGTCAGAAGCCAGTGATAGATGACCTTCCAGAAGTCAAGGTCATAGACTGGAGCAAAAAGCACCGTCTACATCTTCTGTCCTACAGCTAGGACACTGAAGCTTAGATATGCTGATTGACTGGACTGGAGTCACACAGCTATTTAGTGGTAAAGTTGGGGGTAGAACTTGATTTTCTAAATTTAGTCTCTGCTTTCTTGCCCTCTCCCTCATGTTAAATATGAGAGGTCTGAATGCCTGAGATGGAAGTCTGTGGAATTGTGTGCATAATAAGTAGGTGTACATTTTGAATGTGTGGGACAGAGTTTCTGATATATTTGTTGGGGGGCAAGGTGGTAACAACAGATAAGTAGGTGTCATGTTGGAAATGGGAAAGCTAATAATAGGAAGGGTTAGAAGGTTTTCTTTTTCCTCCACTGGAAAATCCCACTTTGTTTTAATTTCCCTGTGTCTGCCTTAGGATCTGGGATTTGTGAGTTTCATGTTTATATTCTTTGATTCTGGGGTGATGTATAATATCTCTATGTTTGACCTCTCTTTCCTTAATCTCAGACCCTAGAGGATTTGAAAGGTCTTTGGAATCCCCCTCAAAGCCCTCCTAAAACAAACAAAAAAACCCAACATAATCTTTGGGAGGAAAGGAGCAGTTTTCTGTAGGCAATGATTTGCATCTATCAGGGCCTCACTAGACTCTGGGGCACCATTGAGTCTTCATGAGGACTTAAGTTTCTGGGTAGTTGGGGATTTGACCATGCTGGGGAATTGAGTGTTAGTCTTAGACCAGCATGTGCCTGGCCAAAATGTCACTTACAGACAGGATGGCAAGTAATTTAATGAGCATTTCCTGCCTTGCATCACTGGAAACCTGACCTTGTCCGTTATAGCCATAGAAGGAGGTAGCCTGCAGTGACTTTTCTTTTTTTTTTAATCCCCCTTGATACAGTGCCGTGGCATCACACAGCTCACAGCAACCTCCAACTCCTGGGCTTAGGTGATTCTCTTGCCTTAGCCTCCCGAGTAGCTGGGACTACAGGCGCCCGCCACAACGCCCGGCTATTTTTTTGTTGTTGCAATTTGGCTGGGGCTGGGTTTGAACCCGCCACCCTTGGTATATGGGGCCAGCGCCCTACCCACTGAGCCACAGGCTCTGCCCTGCAGTGACTTTTCTATAATGCCTGATCTCATAGAGATGCAGAAGCCTTATAGGATATTGTAAAGATTTAGACTTTATGGTCAATGAAACATGTATCCTTCTGGCTGCTGTGTATAGAACAGATAGATATAAGGGAGGCAGGCTAAAAGCAGGAAGATTGGTATTTTTCATTAATAACCCTTTGACCTTTTTCATTAATAACTCTTAGATCTTGTTATCTCCATTTTACAGAAGTTAAGTCAATTGTCCAAGGTCACACAGCCTGTAAGTGTTAGAGCCAGGATTCAAACCCAGGCTGCTGGGTACCAGATTCTGTGCTCTTAACCACTGCCCCAGGTAGAGCTGTGCCTTGAGTACTTTTTTGTTGGCTTTTGTTTCCCTTCCATCATGGCTTGCCTTGTGGGCCTCTTTCTTTTGTAGCAGGGGTCATGCAGAAAAAACACTAGACAGAGTCAGGGTACCTGGGTTTAGATCCTAGTTCTGCCATTGTCTAGTCTTTGCCAAGCCATGTCTCTGAGCTCAAGTTTCTTTATCTATAAGACAAAGGCTGATAGTAATAATAACAACAATAATAGCTAACCTTGTGAGTACATGTGACACATGGTTTATCTCATTTAATCTATTTTATTTATTATTATTTTTTTAGTAGGGCTGGGGCTGCCCCACTAAACCCAGTCCCACTTTGTTGCCCTCGGTACAGTGCCATGGCTCACAGCAACCTCCAGCTCCTGGGCTTAGGCGATTCTCTTGCCTCTGCCTCCCGAGCAGCTGGGACTATAGGCACCTCCCACAATGCCTGGCTATTTCTTGTTGCAGTTTGGCCAGGGCTGGGTTTGAACTCACCACCTAGGGCTGGCGCCCTACTCACTGAGCCACAGTTGCCACCCTATTATTATTATTGTTGTTATTTTATTTTGAGGCAGAATCTCACTCTGTTGCCCATGCTAGAGTGCTGTGGCATTAGCTCAGCTCACAGCAACCTCAAACTCCTGGGCTCAAGCCATCCTCTTGCCTCACTCACTCACTCACTGCCTGAGTAGCTGAGGCCATAGGTGTGTGCTACCACTCCTGGCTAATTTTTCTATTTGTAGTAGAGAGGGGTCTCTCATGCTAGTCTCAAACTCCTGATAAGCAATCTTGCTGCATCAGCCACCCACAGTCCTAGGATTACAGGCGTGAACCACCCTACCCAGCTTTTATCCCATTTATTCTAAATGACAACCCTGTTTTATGGATGAGATTAGGGTAAGAGATGTTAAGTAACTTGAAAGTCATGGAACTAGAATTTGAACCCATGCCTCCTGTGTAATTCAGATACTTTTGGGGTCCCTAACATAGTAGGCTCCAAAAAGTATCCTGAATGCTTAACTCTAGAACTTTTAAACTTCTGGAATCTCTTTTCATCTTTGTGTTGCTTTTGCACAATGCATTACTGAGGATTCTTAGTGTCAAATGACAGAAACCCAGTTTGACTGGTTTAAAGCCAAAAAAGGGGTTTATTGACTCAAATCCAGTGGCAAATGGCTTTGGGCAAGACTAGATCCAGGAGCTCAAATGATGTGCATGTGTATATATTAATTTCATTCTTAGGCAGAGATGGCCACTGGCAGCACCATGCTGATATCCACTAGTTTAGCAGTTTAGCAAACCCAGGAGAAACAGTATCTTTTCTACCTATAGTTTCAACCAAGAGTCTCAGGGCTGAGTCTTAAGCTTAAGCAGGAGCTCATAACCACCAACTACACTATAATTCTTGTACCCTCATATTATAGGCTACATACCAAATGGAGGGAGCTTTCAGAGATAATTATGATCTCTGAATGCCCCTCCCATTGGTAAGCGCCTGTTGAAAGTGATTCTCCAAAGTATATTTTTACTTTTTTTGGGTTATTTCTAGAATATTTAAAAAATAATTGCATGCAAGTATGCAAACACAATTTATCCATTCTCAGAAATGGAAACCCCTGTACTCTTACATCACTTTTTCAGAAATAGCTCTTTTAGCATTAAAATTTATTCATTGCTAGTTTAAGTTGTATGCAATTATTTTTTATTTTATTATTATAATTTTTTTTTAAGAGACAGAATCTCACTTTATCA